TACCGTACTCTATGAACCGCCCGGCCAGAGGGGGGGGGAGTAAAATAATCCGTTAACAGCCAGAGTAATGCCCGGTGCGCAGAGTGCCCCAGCGCCATAGTATGATACGGTATGTTGGCTCCTATGCTGCCTCGCGTGCCCACGGCATGCCGGTCTCTCCTCCCTTCCCCCCCCCCCAAATCTCCATCATTCACCCACGCACACAATATCGCCGCCCCGATTATTATTATTATACTGTTCCTGCAAGCCATCATTCCAGCCCATCATCAGTTCAGTCAGCGATTGCACATTATCGGCCAAGGCAATCAATAGCACTGCAAATATGGCGTAGGCTAAGTCCACCATAAGCACCGCCCGCACAGGCAGAATCGACCTGCACTCGCTGGATATTGCCCCAAACTCGAAAGGAATCATACCTCAGAACCCGATAGTTTCACATAGAAAAAGCACCGTTCTCCATACCATTTCCTCCCCTTCCCCACCAGGCTAAGGCGCCATGTTTTGGGGGGTGGGGAGGTGATGTGAACATTCTCGAACCGCACGATGCGATGCAAAACGGTTTGCCCAATTTCCAAGGTCCCCTTGAACAGTGGTGTAGGGTAGGGGGACGCGATGGTGCGATGCTGGAGGAGTCTCAGTTGCAGTCCCACTCCTGTGCCACCCCCAGCCTCCAAAACCAATTTCGACAACCACGTTAGATCCCGCTCCACGTTGCCTACACAAAAAAAAAAGGAACAAAAAAGCAAGGAAGAGGAAGGATAATGAACCCCCAATCAACCAGGGGTTCACTCACTAATCCCAATAAACCTCCAATGGGATCCCCAACTTTTTGCTTTTGTCTATATTTTAAGAGTCGACTGGAGCGCCAGTCTACCCCACAGGGCGGTGGAGAACTCAAGGAAGGAAGACAGTACTCGTACTTGTACCTGGAGCGGTGAGATTTATAACCCACGCGCGTGCGTTAAAAGTATTTCGCGCAGAGCGTTTCACTCCTTCCATAACCGGTACTCACGTATACACGTTTTTTCTTCTTCTTCTCTTCACTTCCCACGCGAGTAAAACGGTCTCACGGTATCGATGATACGATGATATGGGGTCGAATAACGTCGTCCAGCATCGTAATCGGTAGATGATATCGGCGGACAAGGGTGTTGACACCTTGTCCACGCAGTACCGCAGTACGGTACTCATACCGTACGCTTCTCATACTTGTATGGTGCCTGGCCTCTGAAATCGACACCGACCAACCCACCAAACCCGACAACAAAGGGGTCCCGACAATAACAACGACACTTTCGGACTCCGGAACTACCGTACTTGAAATTGACTCCTCCTCCTCCTCCATCTCCTCCATCCCGCGGACACGGTTTTCCCTCTCTCTTCTTTTTTTTTTTTTTCTTGTTCAATAAATCGAGTAATTAAGTGGTCGAGAAGGGCAAGCGGGGCGCGCCGAGGGAAGTGGGTGCCCGTGTAATTTATGCCAATGCCCTTACCGGTACCCTTTTCCTACCTACCGGTACTCGCACAGTACGAGTACCGTACCGTAGTGTACCAGTGATCTGGTACATAAAAAAGGCAGGAAGGGTCGGGTGAGCGAGACTGTCGGTTTTCAGTGTCCAGCACCCATGCAATGGAGCAAGAAACTCCCACACTTCCGCAGCACTTGTAGCAGATCTGAACAGTGAACTCCACCCTCGCTAAGAAACCCCATATTAGCGCAGCGGTTTCTTTCTTTTCTTTCTTTTTTTTCTTCCCCCATACAAGGACATTGAAGCCAAATGAATACGCTCTTCACATGTTGGCTCCGTATCGCGGATTTCCCACACGAACTGCTGTATACGGTACCGTAGGGTACGGTACAAAGTATCGGACGGCAGAATGAATAGGGGGGGGAGGTCTGAGGGTGGAAGAGAAGGGAGGAAATAACTGTGCAGTACCAGGAAAAAGTAAAACAAGAAAGGGAAAAAAAAGAAAAGAGAAAAAAAAGAAAAAAAAACCCCCCCTCCCCAATTGTGATATTATTATGGGAACCACCAGTAAATCCACGGGTACAGTAGCCTCTCCCTACCTCTCCTTACCTCCCTGATTTAGACTTCCGCACCGTAGCGGTACCGTACTTACAGCATTACCTGGGTTTTATTACCGTACTCGAGTATTACAAGTTCCACCAAATTCTCCTTATGGATCCTTGGTTTTCTGACGCTATTCTTTCCTCTTGCGTTATACCTGCCATCCATACTCGTACTGTACTCGAGTACCGGTACGGTAACCCTTAACCGCAAGCGCTGTCAAAATGCCAAATTAGCTTGACAGAAAGAAAACCTTGCCCCATCAATGCCTACTCTACACGTACAGTACACGTACTCGAGTACATACAGTATTGACCCCCTGCGGCTCTACGGGATCCACCGTACTGCATCATACTCGAGTACTTGTGCCATGATAATGCAAGTGCTGTATCATACAGTACCTCGTATAGTAGCACTCGTACGAGGTATCATAGACTACAGTATGATACACCCCACCTTGCCTGTACAGTACTAGTACTAGCACTTCCATCAAGGCACGCACACATTACCGGTGGTATCATGCTCGCATCATACAAGGTGTGCTATCCTCTACATCGGGTACGGCAATTTACCGTGCAGTACCGGTATGATACTGCACAGTTTGGAATGGGAAAGGTGTGTGGTAAGAGGGCTACTGTACTTGTAGGTTAGGCTAAGCTGTACTGTACCGACCACCACAACCACCACCACCACCACCACCGCCGCCGCCGCCGCCGCCCTACTGCTACGGCTACTCGTGCGGTATCATACCCGTACCCGTACGGTATGATTCTCCCTCCCAAAAGCCTTCTCTCCTGTTGTCCAACCTTAAAATTACCCTACGCGAGTAGCCAGTCGCCAAACCAATCATACGATGGCGCATGCCCCTGCCCACACTACCGGTATGCATTTTACCTACCCTAGGTATACGGTTCCGGAGCTCCAAAATCCACCCTCACCGCCACCGAATCCAACGAACGAGCCCCAACATCAGAGAGAAACTCTGCGCCGAAGCACTCCTCTCCAATCCCACGATGGGCACTTCTGAAAAGAGTGAACACACACCCAAGTCTATGCCAGAGCCCTACTGTTTACTATGTATTACTGAGTTAAGCGAGAAATAATAAAAAGAGACAAGGCCAGTCCCCTGTGTACAGTACCGTACGAGTACTACCTTTCAAGGGGGGTAGGGGAAAATCTGGCCAAGTCTTGGCTATTCTAAGTTAATCCAATTCAGATTCTGTGAGCTGCATGAACCAGGACTTTCCCCGACACCCTTTGACATTTGCATCAACGGTTCACATTGTTTTTTTTTGTTTTTCTTCTTCTTTCTTTCCCCCCATCATGCAATATCGCTATTCCGACGAGGGAAACGTGGTCCGCGCGCTTGGCCAGTAAATTTATTCACCGAATGTCACTCGAAGATAAGTGGGTTACCGTGGACTGCAGCTCTTTCCAGGATAACTCACCTGTAAGCGTAGATTGCAGGCAGGCATGAGGCGAGGCGCAGCGCCCTTGCTGGACACAGACAAGTTTCTTTCTTGGGGAACTCGCGACCAAACGAATGCATCCATTCGGCCTAGCGGTCGTTTACCTCGCGAAGCATGGTGAAATTCCCCATCGCAAAGTCTATCTACCGTGTTAACTTGGGTGGGAAAAATTCTGTAAACGAGGAAGGAAGGCAAATCGAGGAAGCCCCCGCGGTTTAACCCCGCAAGCCATGTGGGTCGGTCGGGTGAGAGTGGGAACCAATTTTTCAATTTCCCTCTCCTCCGATTTTCGACGAGTCAGGATCCGATGCTGCATAGAGGTTCTTGCAGCACAATCGAGGAATGCTACGAGTACTGTACCCCCGACAAGGATCCACAAGAGACGAAATCGATGCCATCACCCATGAAACAATTGCCTTATAGCCAATCAATCAGTCGTGCTATAAGCAGTCGGCTGAAGTTTGGTGGGGTCTGGCCTACGAAATATAGTGCCGGACCAGACCGGGCCCACGTGGCGTCTCTGATTTTGCAGAAAACCCGCATACATCCAAGGCGCCCAAGTGTGGTACTATACCCTCTGACTCCAGCACAGTATCGGTGTGACGAGACCGCCTAACACGTTGGGGATGAGAGCGCCCGATAAACGCTGCGGTCGGGATATATGTGCAACTTCAGTGGTAGGAAATCCAAGTGGTAGAGATACTCGCGATATCGGCATGTGATTATTCCAGTCAATAACTCCAAATCCCTTCCCCGAGCTCCGAGTACATAGAAGGTCTGTTCAGTCATATGGTGCGATGGCAAAACCCTGACCTCGGGTACGTGCAAATCCCGCTCTGCCGGGAGTCTCCCTTGGGTTAGACCTGATCCATTAACCCCAAGAACCAGACCCAGATAAGCCATAATTCTACCCCCACTTCCCGCAGATCGGCAAATCTGGAGCAAAGTAAATTTAATAATTGATTCCCTTGATTCCTCAAGTTATGCGTTGGTTCATTAATGATCATCTGGAGGGAAGATTTTTGAGGTGGTAATAGCAGGTTCCACTTTGTTTCCCTGGATATACCAGATTAACGCCCAAATTCTTATCGATTGTCAGATGCTTCACCCACAAAGACACTTTGCTCCCCGCGAATGCCGGGGTATGAATTTTTATGGCAATTCTGGTACCGAGTACATGATGATTTAAGTGGAACTAGAGGGAGTCTGCATATGTAGAATTGAGCGGAAAGAGCGCTAGCTTGACCGCGCCAATCTAGCACGCCCCAATCGCCCGGTTTCGATCGGAAACGTTTCCTTTTTTCAAGGTGTATTCGGCCGGATACATCAACAGCCTCTGTGGTGAATCCGAGAGAGAGAAACACGGCACGGGAGTGGAAACGACACCCTAGCCCCCATCCAAGGCAGTCACGCAGAACTACGGTATCCAGGGAGGAAGCCAACATGTGGGGACGAAACAGACCCCCAAACAGGGTTTTCCTTTTTCAATTCGTCGTTGGACAGAATCCTGCCGAGAGTGAAAGGATATCACAAATTGGGGGAGGAATGGCCCTCCCACGATGCCGAGGTGCATATTCAGTCACAATGTACGTTGCTGATTGGAAGGATCGCATTTTTGTAGCATTTTTCCCCTTGTTCGGGCTCCAATGATGTCTTGGTGAAGCTGCTCTGGTTGACAATGCATGAAGAGGCGAAAAGCAATCCTCCCGTAGGAGTAGCACCGATAAGACGGATTCCCACAGTTTCTCTGGGTATCTGCTGCGGCGAGGTATCGGGCAGCTGGAATAAGATTTGTTTCCCGGAGCAAAGACGTACGGCGTTCCCACACGAACTGGCAGCATGACGTCTCCTGTGAGTAGAGGCTCGTATCCCCATGGTTTCCTCGTAATGTTGGTGGTCCTCTCGATAACCGTTCTGATTCTCGCCTCGATACCATGTGTGCTGCACTCAGTTCCAATCGAGAAGCGCAGATATCTTAGCCCCATGGTATTCGGGGATTTTTCCCTAGTCGCTGCTCAGCTCCGTGAGCTGCGCTGCTGCCAGCCTACCTCTGAGTGACCAGGTCCATTGAAGATCGATATCTCGAGTGACTGTCCATGAACACCACCTCCACCGCTCCTTTCCAAGCTGCTGCTCATAATTTTCCACCCAACGCTCCCGATCCGCCCACGATCCCTGATTCCTGGGAAACACATGCTTAGTTAGGCAAGAGGTGATGATCCAAACCAAGGATGAAGATCTAACACCCGGGGGTCAATCTATAGACAGGGCTCAGTCCGCCGGAAAACAACCAAGAGGCGGGGAAAGGGGGGGGGAAGACCACTGGATGGTGGTGGGGGGGACAAGCCAATAGCACGGATACAGAGTGGGCCCGTCTTCAACGCCGGTACCCAGGCTTTTCGTTCCAGGGAGAGAAGAACACGACTGGGACGCTACCAACGGGAGCACTACGTATGCACAGTACCGCCCACCGTAACCACAAATACGTCGCCGCCCCCTGCGGCAGTGACGGTGGCCAATTCTAGAAGTGGTGACATCACCGTATGTAGTCCGGGTGCTCTCGGCAGCTTAGCGTCAGACCTTCCCGGGGGCCCCGAGATACTGTGCGCACGCTGTCATACCTGTAGGATACCGATTCGAGAAAATGAGAACGTAACCAGTGGACACTCAACGAGTATTTCCAGGGCTTCGGTGTGGTTGATGTCCCACTATCGGATAAGCGAATACGGTACGATATCATCATCTATGGATTGCTTCCCACTAACCTTCACGAAAACTCACTCGCGCCACCCATTTCCCCCCACAGATGATCCCGCCGGTCTCGCCACCCTTCACACGCACGCCGGAACCCTATCCGCAAAACCGCACGCGTATCACATCCCTTTAGTCCTTTCTCCTTGGCCCCGCTCGTTCATTTGTCACTGTCGCAGAGGGGAAAAAACCATATAGAAAAATCAAGCTTCCGGTCTAATTTAATTTGGCAAGACAGATTGATTGGCATCATGCCTCGGGTCAACGGCCGGAATACTTTCCTTTAACCACATCGTAAAACAAATGCGTTGATTAGTGGTGACTTTCTGAATCCTGGTATGGGGAAGTCTATCCGGGGCCAGGCCACGTGGAGTAACATGCGGATCTGCACTGTAACTGTAACAATAGGGTAGCGATAAGCAACCCCGGAACTATGATAGCCATACCTCGATTCCGGGGTTGATCCCGGTTCATGCGTTAGCTTCCCGCTACGCATTAATCTGCCTGTGCTTTCCCCCACTCCGTACCGTCGAGCATAATTTATCACTAGTTGTGTGGGGCACGGGATATATCAAATTTCTAAATCTTCACTCTTGTATCATAACCATAGCTGTCGTGCGACTAAAATTACAATCCGTGAGCACGTATAAATCTTCGAGCCACGAGAATAAAAGGAAAAAAACTCCTTGAGAAAAAGAAATGAAAACGCTTCAACCCAGAAAAGGAACCCCCAACACCGGTCCAAAAGAAACGAGATTGATTACTCTTTTTTTCTCTTTGCTCCCCACCCTTGTGGTCATCACTCATACTTCCCTCCATCGCCTGTCCCATTGCCCGTCCGCGTTCCTTTGCATTCCCGCCCTCGACTCACCGGTACACCTGGCTGGATCCGGCGGCGCTGGGTATGTAGCTGACGCTTGGATCTGTCCGGTCATCGGGAAGCAATGGCTCTGCGCTTGGGTGTGATGGCGGTGGGCGTGAGCGGCCGTGCCTTGTTTGACGATCGACTCGAGGTGCGTAGGATTGTGCGTCCGGATAGGGCAGAGGAAAACCGGCGCCGTGTGGATACGGCCGGGGCGCGTGTGGGGTACGGGGGCTGTCTGCTCTTGTTGGCTCGGGATGGTGGGGTAGTTGCGATGTGGAGGGCCTTGATGTCCAGGAGTCTCCTATGGTGTCCAGTGATCCTATCCCCGAATTGTCGTACATGCGTTCCGTCGGGCTTTGGATATCCTCTGTTACATCAGCCGGAGTGGGGTGGTGCACTTGTAACCCTCCGGGCAGCGGCCTCAGGTTTGTTGTTCCCATTGGTGCGGCGTCCCCTGCCAACCCTTGGCTTTCCTTCTTCCGGCTTATAATCTTTTCCACATCCCGATGCCTTTTTCTCCAGCCCCAAAGCATCCATTTCAGCCCTCTTGCCGTTGCACAAATGGTATCCCATGGATTGAACGCATCCAACAGCGTTCTGAAAACAGATGTCTTCTGTCCGGAACCGTGGTCGAAATCCTTCCATGCAAATGCCCACAAGTGAAAAATGGCAAAAATGATCATTTCGAAGCAAATGAGTAGGGAATTAAATCCGATGGAAATATCACCTTGCGACATGACTTTGCTTGGCTTGATGATTTTGGTCGAAACGAGGAAATCTAATAATATCTTGGCAAATGTTAGCGATAGTGCTGAGGTGAGACGGGGCACACCCATACCATCTGCCAGAAGGAGAAGAAGATGACTAGCTTTATGCAAAGTAGTTTGAAAAAGGGTTTGTTTGCTGCGAGATCCCGCTTGAGATTGAGGTAAAATGCAATGAGACAATACATGGCGATGGTCACAGCTATGACGTTAAAAATCATGCACCACAAATGCGCGAATGCCGGATGAAGTGAATCTTCACAGTAGTTTCCGGTGGCCTGTGTTGCCGTAGCAATTACAGTGGTCGCAACCCTGATGAAGATGTATTGAAAGACACCCATCCATATCACCTGTATAGGCCATTGTCAGAATGTACCGCGTTGGTGGATCAAAGGGCAAATCGAACGTTAAACCATGTCAAGCCATTCCTGGGTTTCCGTATCTGCCGCTTGCCCATGCATCTATTAATCCACGTTATTGGCCAAGGCCACGGCTTCACCTCCATCGTTGAAAAGAAATCCTTTTGCCCACGGAGATCCGGCGCAATGTATGCGCACAAGAGCGTGAAGAATGATGCGATCGCGAAAGCTTCATAACAATCCTAGCAACGAGTTAGATTTTGGGTAACCGGGTCGTGGCATGAGCTGTTCCCACCCGTGCGACCTCCCAATATATCGCATGCCAGTACCATACATATGAAAGCCATGAAGTTATAGCATAGATGGGAATCATGAGCAGAATGCGGATAATGCTGACGGGTTCGTTAGCCAGAGCGTTGGCGAGTGAGCCAATGGTGAGACTCACTGTTTCTGTTCATTAGGTTTTGTGTAATTGGTGGCATGTCGGAATATCAAGAAAAAGGAGATGGTTGTAGCTATGAGAGCGCAAGCCTGTTGACAAAAACCTCAAGTCAGCACTTTCCCCGCCTCTGCCCAACGCGTCCGCGGGAAACCAAGTTTCGAAATGAGTAGGAATTATAAAGTGGAAAACTCATACACCGCTTATCAACCATCCCAAGGTATGCAGACTCAAGTTTCCCACGATCTTCTCAGTCTCCCCTAGGTTTGCAATCAGTAACCATAGAATTGGCCATCACTTTTGAGGCGCGCGCCAGGAGGGGCTCACAGTGGGTTTCGGATAGGGTCGCGTTGCAGTGAACCATCGTGGACGGGAGGTCCAGTCACCGGTACGTTACGAGTTGAGAAAGGGAGATATTTGATTGAAGGTCTATGTTGCGCCTGTAAAGCGCACGGCACAGGAGGGGGAGGCTCTGGGCCAAGAATCAGGAGAAAAAAGCGGGCAGATGCCCAAATAGACACCGGATACGGTACCGGTACTGTACTGTACTGTCGGGGTGCTGGTACCGGTACGATATGACAGCGGTAGGATAGTTACTTGAAGACAATCCCTCGAGCATGGTAACTTAATATGATGAAAGGGGAACACAGGTAAGTTAATTTAGGGCCGCGTGGATTCCTGGGGGGTAGGTCATAGGGTAATGTTGAGATTAGTTGACCCTTTTGAACCTTCAAAAGGGTTTGTGGCGAGAATAAGATTCGTTCCCGCCTCAGCTGCTGCCGTTATTTCCACCCCGGCTGGGGCAGCGAGCTAGACAAAAAGTGGTTTAGCTGTGGCTCAGCAATCAGCGCCGCTCTCGTGAGGTTCACCACCAAATGCTTGGTCGCCCCTATTCAGCTAAGTTACGTGTGCACTGACTTGGTACTGCCGTGGCGCTGCACCCAACAACGGGCTGGTGGTCAAGGGTACCCGGTGGCTCAGCGGTCGAAATTCGTCCTTCCTGGCCAGGGCCCTTCCCCCTTCTCCATACGAGTACAGGGGGAGTCCAACGCCCCCGCCAAGCTTCACCAATGCTCGCGATCACAATGCCAAAAGTGGGGCACTCCCCTTTGTGCTCGGGTATACGGTACTGTACGAGTACCCGGATAGGGCAAAGATTAGATCGCGCGCAGTACTGTACTATGTACTTGTACTCGAGTACCGTATCGTAGAGGTATGATAGCCAGCGGTGGTACCGTGTTACCGGTACGCTAGTCCGTAGCTAGAGATTGGAACTGGACCGTCACTATGCGCTAACCTTTGCGGAATTTCAACCGTACTCGAGTACAGGTATTACTGCTGCGCCACCAAGATACTCGTACTGTACCCATCAATACCGGGTGCCGAGTAGCCGGATAGCTAAAACGCGAGAAACCCCTTTCGCGACGGGAAGGTTTGTGGGCTTAACCCCTCTAAACTGGCTGTTTTCGCCCAGGTGCGGGGGCGGCACCAAGGTCAATCTAGCCCTGCGCACTGCAGATCTCGGAGGGAAGTTAACGGCTGAATGTCAGCACGTAAGGTGCAGTAGAGACGAGTTAAATTGCTCCGGTGCGATAAGGCGAAGTGTCTATAAGTAGGTTAGGGGAGGCACAAGCTCCAGACATTCAACCGTGTATGAGGCATATATCATGTCATACCGGTGTCTATCCTTCACCCGTCCAGCTTTTCGCGGTTGCACATATCAGAATTTGCCTAACCCCACCACCGAGTCGGCTGAGAATAATCTCACTCATGCGAGAACCGTGCTATGTATGTACGACCAATGTACCGGTAATGATTGTACTTTTGTGGATCCGAAACTCAGGCCCTGTTCGGCACGTACAGTATGATACGGTACGGTACTCGGGCATCGGGAAAGAGGCCGTTTTCAAAAGTAGGATACCGCGTGCCGGACAGGGCCGTGGTTGATTCGCAGAACTGGTCCTATGGAGGGACCCAGCTCCCTTAAACTCTGACCACCGTCATGACTGATGGGGCTTGTGTCTCTGGTGCTCGAGTGCTACATCTGTCCTTATGGCGACCTTACTCATCGGATCCAGGTTCACAGGGCCAATTGGAGGCGTATTCTTACGACCTTCGGTCTCGTTTCCGTCTGGGCGGGGAAATGCGTTCCTCCGGCGTTTGTGTCCTTATGGATCCTACTGTCCTAATGACTCAGCCGCCGGAAGACCATAATTCAGCCCCCCTACGAGTAGAAAAAATGAGGTTATCGGAGACTGACCACACACTCCCTTCCCCAGCGACCAAGCTGCAAACACTCTTTCACTTACGTCACTGGCACACCACAAACAATTTCCTGTTTTACCAGAAGCTCGCTCGCTTCAGAGATCTCTCATGAGATGCCTCTGATCAGCGGTATCCGCATGGCAACCTCCTCGAACGGTATTAGATATCGCCACCTATTCGGCTGACTACCGCCGGCTTGGGGGTCTCCAGATGTAATTTTGTGAGTGTGTGAACGCCCACGTATTGATCAACAATCATGCATGAAATCTATTGCTGCACCATTTCGTCGGTTCGAAAGTATCTGCACGACATCCCGACACCGCCGCTAGGATGTTACTTGTACGTCTAGCGTGTGGCCGAGCACCCTCTCTCGGAGGAAAGCCCCTGAGGCCCGGAGAGGGTCTCTCTCTCTCTTTTTTTTCTATTGATTTGTCTGCGGATCGCGGCTTGCTACCGGTATTCTTGAACCTTCTTCCGGTCCAGCGTTCTTTGGTGGGTTTTATAAATTAACTTGCGGGGTCCTGGTGAGCCGAAATACTGGTATTATACCGTTATGAACAGAATGTACGGCTGCCCTGACTTGGTCGTGATGTTCCAGACTAGAGTGAGTAGCCACAACAGAGGGAATGCTTAGGGGATCTCAGGTAGAAAAACCTCTTCCTCGATATTATCGTGAAAAGCAGCAGAATAGGAAGGGAAGTTCGAGAAAAAAATGGAATAGGAAAACCCATGCTCAGTACTCGCCCCCGCCTTGGTATTTCTCGTCTTTCCCCCTCCTTTCCACCGGGAATCCACTGTGGGGTTCGGAAGCCTTCTTAAATATAGATATTCTGCCGAGGTTTTCAAGGAATCCATAGCAAATAAACAAGGCACCATGTGAGCGTTAATCTCCGTGTACCTCACCACGAGCCCGTTCGCACACCCAACGGTATGCCTTTTTCTTCAACCCCGTGAGTGGACCACCCGGTCTCTATCAGATCTAACAGACATTTACCTCTCTAGGGGTTCGAAAGACAGATGTAACCCAAAGCTTAGATATCAAGGCACAACTGAAATCTGGTGTTAATGAAATGATTCTCGCCTCTAATACGATGTGTCTCCTTCTGATCGGTCATAGTTACTCGCTCGCATAGATGATAGATACTGTAGTTATATGGTAACCCTACAGTAACGCTACTCTGAGACGAAGGCACATAAAGTCGAGAGAGTGTATGCGTGCGTGAAGGGGGGGGGGGGAGGAAAGCACAGGGAAGAAGACCAATCCGGAGGAAACTAAGAACATGTGACTAAGCACAACCGAGTGATTTCCGATGTGTTCTTTTATGCGTTTTTGGCGGAAAAGCACAAGGGCTGGCATAACGGAGTGGATTCAAAAGGCAAATTCCATATCTCCAAGAGCCCACATTCTCCAATCACATGATCAAATGTTTAAATACAGGATGTATATGGCGGGAGTTATTTCAATGTACAGCCGCGACAAGAAAGTAACCGGACAGCATTGGATGTAGATTTACAGTGGATACTAGTCTGGTTGGAACAGTATATAGTGTGGTTGCAACAAGATTCATCCACCACAGATCACAATATGAAGCCAAGGACTGAGGAGGAGGAGGGGATAGAGTGGCAAGAGAGGAGTGGGACCAATGAGATTGGAATAAGATCTACAAGATAATAGGTGGTATGCCTCATATGATGATTGAGAAGGGAGGTTCAAGAATGAAGTATTAAGTATGGATCGGTGTTTTGGAGACATTTATGAACTTGTAGTGCATGGAAATTTCCGCTAGTGTCCGGTTACTTTCTTGTCACTGCTGTGCATCTCTGGGTAACCAGCTGCGCAGAATCTTTACATAAAAATACACCTCATTGCAGTTCTCTCTGCCATCCGTAAGCTCGAGATGCCATTTTCCTTAAAATGATGGACATACGCTCCCTGACTCCCTGCCTGCCTGAGGGGTAATAAAGATGGAAGGAGAATCAGAAAGGGCAATCCGATACCACTCGGACATGACGCCCGTGGTGTGCATGGCAAGTGGAACGAAAGGTGTAGTATAGTAGTTGACCACCGAGCCTTACCCGGCATGATAAGTGGGCGACTCAGGGTCCTCTTCTGGTGGTGACGACGACGACGACGACGACGTTTGCCAAAAGCCAGAGAGGGAGGCCGGAAAGCAATAACAAGTACAGTATGCACGACTCGGATTTCAGCGGAAGTAGAAATCCTCCTACAGCGTTCTGCGTCGTTACGTACGATATATCTGACCCGTACCCTTCCGCTAGGCTGTCTATCACTAGTAATCTCTCAGGCGCAGCCGTTGCGCCTGTCTGGTGTCATTTGGCACTCGTGATCGTGAGGCCGTCGGTGAGGGAACTTGTGCATGAATTATCACTCGGAAATCAAGGAAGGGGGGGCTTTTGGGCTGTCCGAAGTATTATCATTATCATACTTTAGTGTGACAGATGATGTGAGTTTGTGTCTGCTATGCTACCTGCCATGGAAATACTATGATACCCGATTCTCATCAACTTAGAGATTCGGGAAATTACCGGGGTCATGTTGATGTATAAATAAGTTGTTAACGCCGCTCATTAGTATAGGTAAGATAGGACGGTATTGGGTGTACCTCCTAGGCCTATGGAAATCCATCCATCCATCCATATTTCTCAATAAGATGGCTTGTACCGACTTTTTTCCCGGTCTGTAATTGTAGGGAGCCGTATCCTAGGTTCCGCCAGTAACCATGTGTGGATATTGGCAAAAAGCGATTTGTCGGAGATATAGTGGGGTAAGAGAGTGCGATCGCTTCTCGTCCTGGCATGGTCAAGTACCATAGTAGTCCGTGATGAGCCAAGATGCAAGGGTGTTTTCCCGTGGACTTTCCAAAGTCTTGGTAATTCCTGATGCAGTGCCAGAGTGTCGGTTCACCTGGGACTCCTGTTGGGAGAGTTTAGGCACTGCAGTGGGTTCTTTTTCCACTATTCTCAATTCCCCAGAGGAGGAATAGGATTTTGAGCGAGCGGATACTGCGTTGACTAGGTTTCCGAGGCTTCTGCCTTTTTATATAAATTACTGGGATCTGTAGCTAGCCATTCACACATTGAGGAGGAGAAGGAAGGTTGATGGTAGGAGTAATCACTAGCAAAGTGAGTAACTGTATCATGATACGGTACCGTGATTGGCTGGTGAGAACCCTTACGCCTGTGCAGTGGATCTTGCATATGGGCGGCGGTACCGAAAATGATGCATAACCGGTGGCAACATGTCGGAGGCGTTACCATGGGTAACCAAAATTCACACCCTCTCACTCGTAACACTATTGGGGGCATGCCGTCGCGCATCTTGCCGTATTGCAGGGTGGAAAGTCCCTTAAGACCGGGGGAACGCCCCCCATCAGTCACCAATCGATACAGGCACGGTAGATCTGTATCATGAGTCGGAGTTATGGGGAGATAAAGTGGGAATGGAGCCATGTTACTAATCTCGCCACTCACCACAAACCCCCAAACCAACACACTGGTATGTTCTCTGCGGGTGGCACGCCCCGCCAAGACTGCCTTTGAAATCCACCGATATGTCATCTTCTTGAAAGCCCTCTCTCTCTCTCTTTCTCTCTCTCTTCTATACTTTTTTCTTCACACCCTGGATAACTACGCTGCTACTGCTACAACACATACTCGAATTTTTTTTCAAGAAAAAAAAAACAGACAAACAAAACAAACACAACTAAGAGGAAGATGGCCCGCAGACCTGCTCGTTGCTATCGTTACTGCAAGAGTACGTATAAACGCTATACTTCATAGAGATATGTGAGTGAGAAAGCTAATAGAGACTACCAGACAAACCGTACCCAAAGTCCCGTTTCAACCGCGGTGTTCCCGACCCTAAGATCCGCATCTTCGATCTGGGCCGCAAGCGTGCCACCGTCGATGAGTTCCCCCTCTGCGTACACCTCGTCTCGAACGAGTACGAGCAACTCTCTTCCGAGGCACTGGAGGCGGCTCGTATCTGCGCGAACAAGTACCTCGTCAAGTCCGCCGGAAAGGATGGTTTCCATATGAGAATTCGGTATGCTGCTGCTTCCCTCCAAGGATTTGGAGTATATACATATATGTTGGCTGACCTGACAAGTGTTCACCCCTATCATGTTATCCGTATCAACAAGATGTTGTCCTGTGCCGGTGCGGACAGGCTTCAAACCGGTATGCGCGGGGCTTGGGGAAAGCCCAATGGAACCGTTGCCCGTGTCGATATTGGGCAGATCATTCTTTCCGTCAGAACTCGTGATGCTAGCCGTGGAATTGCTATTGAAGCTTTGAGGAGGTCTCAGTACAAGTAATTTCCTCCCCCCTCCTTCTTCCTCTCACCGTTTCTCTTCCTTCGCCAGCTGCTGATAAGGTATTCACAGATTTCCCGGCCGCCAAAAGATCATCGTCTCCAAGAACTGGGGCTTCACACCCCTCCGTCGCGAGGAGTACCTCCGGAAGCGTCAGAATGGTGAACTTAGGACTGATGGTGCTTACGTCCAGTTCTTGAGGCCTCATGGAAATCTGGAACGGAATATGCGCACGTTCCCAGAGGCCTTCGTCTCTGCCTAGTGTGATTGTGTTTTTCATTCGCTAGCGTTAGCTGGCTGATAGGGGCCAAGTCATTTTAAAATGGGGGTTTTTTTTTCACGTATGCATGTCAGGTACCTTTGAACAAGAAATGCTGTATATGAAAGTTTGGGCGACGGGTTCTAGAAACCTACGTGAACAGTGTCGTTGAACTGTGTCAAGTGATTTCGGAAAAGGTGTGGGGAAAATTCATTCCTGAAATACTGTGGCATGCTGAATTTCTGTAAAGATATCATTGGCCTGATTCCCGCCCCCCCAACGCCTCGAGATGCCAGGAGAATCAAGGCCGTCATCTCCCAGTTGTAAATACAAAGTTTCGATACCTCAGTGAATTACCCGCGGGGAAGCAAATTGTGAGCAGTCGCTCTCCTATCTGGTAGCCCATAGAATTGTAAATTTTTTCCATATTGTTCTCGCAGCGAGTTGAGAGCTGATGACAAATACTCCCACTCCTTATCGATTGCCACCCTAATTTAAGCACCTTCCCCACCTGAGCCTGAGCCTCCCCCCATCCAAAAAAAAAAACTTCCGTCCCACCATTGTGCAACAAGCGCCACACAACCACACCACAAAAAAAATTACTCGGGTATCATACCGACACTGAATACATCGCAGCACAAAAGATAGCAAACAAACACCACGACGCAACTTCAAACAATGAGCGCAATCCTCAGCGCTGACGACCTAAATGACTTCATATCCCCGGGCGTCGCATGCATAAAACCGATTGAAACTCTTCCTGCAGCCCCCGACCCACCGCCCTCCAACCCCTACGAAGTCGTGCTGGAAGACAAAGCGCCCCAACCGGATCTCCCGCCCGCACAGATTTCGCTAACAGACTGCCTTGCCTGCTCCGGCTGCGTCACATCCGCCGAAGCCGTCCTCGTCTCACTCCAATCCCACAATGAAGTCCTTGCGAACCTAAACGCCCACCCGGAGAAGGTATTCGTGGCGCTGATATCCCCGCAGTCGAAGGCAAGTCTTGCTACGGCTTATGGCGTCAGTGCTGATGCCGCTGGACACATGATTGAACGGTTGCTGTGCTCGCCGGAGGGGATTCGTGGAGGGGGGAGGGGGTTCGATTTTGTCCTAGATACGGATACTGCTAGGGAGATTGCTGTGGAGTTTGCCGCTGAAGAGGTTGTTGCGGCTATGCAGGGCGGTAGGGATGGGGGGAAGATGCCGATATTGACGAGCGCATGTCCGGGATTTGTGTGCTATTTGGAGTCTACCCAGCCGGCCCTGATTCCACACTTGTCGAGACTGAAGAGCCCTCAGGCGATCCTGGGGACAGCGGTGAAGTCACTGCTGTACAAGGATGTGGGGGGCGGGGTGAAAGGGATTTACGTTGTTGGTGTAATGCCATGCTTTGACAAGAAGCTTGAAGGGGCGCGTGGGGAGTTGACCTCTGGAGCATGGATGGAAGGGGAAGGGGAGGTAGCCCGGGACGTGGACTGCGTAATTACCACCCGGGAACTAATATCTCTTGCACAAGCCAGAGGCGTGGACTTTGCTACCCTCCCGCAATGTCCGTCCCTTCTCCCCCCTTCCAGTACTACCTCCGCTCCCCCGAAAATCCTCAAATCCCTCACAAAATCTGCCTCTACCAAAACCAATCCCATACCAGGGACCAGCGACGGTTATCTCACGCACATTGCAAGCCACATCCTAGCCCTCTACCCAACATCCACCCTGCGCATCGAGCCGGGCCGCAACTCGGACACAACAGACTACGTAATTTCCACCCCCGAAAGGACAATTGCTCGCCTGTCCCGTTGCTACGGATTCCGCAACATCCAGAACCTCGTCCGCCGCCTGAAGCCCGCAAAAACTCGTGTGCTCCCGCGGTTTGGAAAACCCTCTGCTACAGCCTCGCAGCGCAAGCCCCTAGCCGCCGCCTCAAGACAGGCGGGCGGAAAGTCGGATGTGGAGTACACTTATGTTGAAGTCATGGCCTGTCCGGGCGGTTGTACCAATGGTGGTGGACAAGTTCGGTATGACGACAAGATTATCGCTTCAGGGCTTAGTGCAGGGACGCAGAAGGAGTGGCTGGTCAGGGTCGATGAGGCTTACTATTCGTCTGCCGAGGATGAGGAGAATAGAGAGGAAGGTGGGGTAGGGCAGGAGGCGTGGGTGGAGAGGTTCATTGAGGAATGGGAGAGCAGGACGGGTGTTTCTAAAGACAGGTTACTGTTTACTGGATACCGGAAGGTGGAGAACGATTTAGGGGACAGGATGAAGGAGGTTAGTGTTGTGGAGTTGGCTAGTAAGGATGGTGGGGGGTGGTGAATTCTCTTTGCTCTACTTTGCTACTCCGGAGCTGTCTTGCTGCGATAGAGGGGGATATGATTTACGCTGGCGCCGGTTAGATTTGTTTTTTTCTTTCTTCTTCTTTCCTTTTTCTTCTTTCTTCTTATTCCAAATGGTACTTCTCGTTAGTGCGCCATCATAATATCATGGTTTGTCAACCTGTAATCCGTGGCCTACTTATGATACTGCAAATCTAATATCCCTGTCACTTGATGTCACTCGGATTTACCACAAAATCGTAGAGAGCGAACGACAGGAAAATGTGCAATACCGCAAGCAAACGCCATCCATCCAAATATATGATACCAAACGCCATACCCAAACCTACCGGACTTGGCTCCAAAAAAAAAACCCCCCCCCAGACACGTAACCCACACCTTCCTGCCTGTCTATCTTATCTATCTATCCATCTATCCGAAACCTCAGTCCACCCTCTTTCTCACCATACCGCATCACGTTCATTACGGCACTCACAGTGAAAGAAGCGGTGTTGAGTGGTTTACTGTACCCATCAACCCCCCCACCCCCTTCCACTCGCCACCACCCCCTCCCCTCCCAGCCCTCCGTCCTCATGGCCCCGCTACTGTATGACCGATATATATGCCGCTTTCCTCCATCTCTTCATTATGCCGTTTCACTCTCTTCACTTTTTTTTCTCCCCCTTCCTGAATTTTTTTTCTGCGTACGATGCAACAAAACCAAGTTTACGAATGTGCCAGGTATCAAGTGCCAAGTGTAAATACAGATATCGTGATTGTACCGCACTGAATAATAAGTGAGTTGAAATATGTGTCGGGATGTGTGGATATGAAACTAGTGTCAAGCTAGGGGACACTTAGCGTGAAGCTGGAAGATACAGTACTTGACCCTTAAGTCAGGGGACTATTATAGTAAGGGGCTGGTGTTTGGAGGTTGGTGGTGTCCTGAATACGGACAACTAGACTGTGGAGTTACTGTATTATATAGAGGTGGTGTGTCACAGGTATTACCAAGAAAGAGCAATCTTTCGTCTATCCATTATTCCTCTATTCCTCTATTACTTGTCGATATTCATTCTTGGGTTTTACAACATGAGTGACTTGGAGTGAGTGAGTGATAAAACATGATCAGGACGTTTTTTTTTTGTGAAACCGGGGTGGTTCCGGAAATGTAGATAGGGGGGGGAGAGAGAAAGTTTGATGGAAGCAGAGGGGTCATTTCGTATCGCTCGGTTTGAGGGGAAGGGCAAGTGCCTGTCTGGAAACTATTGTTTAGCCTCGACTTCCTGCTCGCTATTTGGGCATCCCAGCATTAGGTATGATACTCTGAGCGATATTTGGCGTCACTAAAGTGGAGCTGTATATTGGGTTCGGTGCTTTTGTTCGTTGGATGGGCTTGTGAAATAAGCTGAGGAAAATAGAGTGGAACTAGTGCCGGGCATCATGCTGGAAGCCATGCACGGAACGCAGAACGTAAGAGTCAGCTCCGAGAGCATGATGCACTACCGGTAGGGTATGGACGTGCGAAACCGGACAGCCAGGGTTAGAGGTATCAAAGCTTCTTGCTTGTTTGAGCAATCTCCGTGCCAAGTTCGTTATCCAACTTCCATGAGGGGTAGTAAGCCCTAGCCTCCTTAATCTACTTGTATGGCGGTCCGATCGCCCCAAGTGTGCATACCCGAGTAGAGTGCCGGTACCACCGTAACACTTCAGATCGTACGGTACTGTACCTGCTCAGTCACGGAAAGTGAGGCGCCGCAATGTGCTAGAGGTGGTTTTCCTTGTCACTCCTACCGTACGGGGCGGCAGGTGCCTGTTCGCGGGCATAAACGATACCGCTGGGGCGATATCATGCATAATTTCGGTATCATACTCTGCGCGCTCAGGCGTGAATGCACTGTTATAGGTGTCGTGTCGCATGACGAATACTGTGTAATTAGTCACAAATGTTTGGAGCGGATAAAAATAAAGAGAAAAGAAGATGAAAGAGGGAAGGACTAACCATCAGCGAGGGGGTAGGGCACGATACAGTACCGGTACTATGGGTTAAATTTATCACCAGTATGATACGGCCGAGCGACAGCTAATCCGAACCAAAGATGCCTATACTTTCCATCCGCCATCCTTTACTTATATTCACGTGACGATATATCTACCCGCACCGACCATCTCCACAACTAATAGCACGTACAGTACCTGTACCGGCATCAGTGCTGTACGAGTACCGTACTCGAGTATCGGTGGTCCGTCAGAAAAACAAAAAATACATGCAGTAGGCTAGTAAATCCATGATTAGGAATCCCCTCCCTTCGTTCCAATCTTATCTGAGCAGCTGGCATCCAACGATACTATCGTACCTGCCAACCCCTCCCCCGAAAATAAAGTACGGTAGTCGGGTACCGTAGGTTTCACATATAAAAATAAACTGCCCCATAGTACGAGTACTCGAGCGCGTTACTCACCCGTAAAGACTCTTGGAATCCATCATCCCCGTCAGCTCCGCTCGCGGGAAGGGTTAGCGTTTTCCCGATATAGTATAAAAGATCAGCCCACCGGATGTGTTGGATCTCGTCAACAGGTATTCGCATTCGCGATCCTGTTAGCACGCCAAACAAAACTTACAGTACGTACTTGTATTGTGGGATGACCGGCCGGGCTGACGGAGATGGTGGATTCCGAGAGTTTTTACGATACCCGTGATCGCGCTTCGATTAGCGGTAACCTAGCGCCCATCCCCGGGCACCCGTGCACAAGGGCCCGTCACCATTTTCTGTTGGTAAGGAAAAGGAGAGGTGGAGAGGTGGAGAGAGAGAAGTTGAAGAAGGTACCGTATCATAACCGTACGGGCACCGCAGCCTATCCGGGGAATGCCCGGGGCTCTGGATCGTGTCTTACTCTGCTCGTAGATCGGGAGGTGTGGTACCGGGTGGGGGGTTCAGGAACGGTTGAATTTTCCCCTTTGCAGAAAAGGTACCGACAGGTTAGAATGGGGGCGGATGGGCTGGGCTGGCTTGGGTTGTTGGGTTGGGTCGGGGTTTGTTGGAATGGGATGGAGGTTTGTGGATGGGGCTTAGGGAATTGTGTCGTACGGTATCTTACCGTACCGGTACCCGTTCCGGGAAAGAGGTGCTGTATCATACCGGCATGTACTAGTACTCGAGTATGTGTATCATACATACCGTACCGCACCCGAAAACGGGGATTTCGCAAGCGTAGTCTAATACCGGTACGGTATGGCAGGAGAAAGATGAAATAAATCAAAATCCGCGAGTATCTGGAGTCGGGTACCCTGCTATGCAAACTCACGACCCCTGATTTCGGATACTCCTTGCATGCTGCGAGGACCATGGGGTGGGCAAGGTCTCTGCCGTTTTACCGTACTAGTACTCGTACAAGTACAGTACGTGGGGCGTGTGGGGTGGGGTGGCGGATACCGTATGGTATGATAGGGGTTGCTTTCGAGAGGCTTGCACCAGAGGTAGGGTTGGAAGTGGTGGTGTCTTTTATCCAAATATGATGGCGTGCAAGCGGGGTGCTGTAGGCCCGGGCAGCGTAGGTATGGTGTGAGGCATCTAAAGTGTGTATACACCGTATCATACTCCAACCAGGGCGGTAGGCGTTGAAATGTTGTGATTGTGATGGTGATGGTGATTGCGGCTTGGGTGACGGGTTAACTCTGACCCGTGACGAGACGGCGGGCTACGGGGATTACGTGCGAGATTCGATAGCACACGAGTATCATATCGTATGTAGCTTCGAGCAACCTTTTGCAGCACTGTGCTTGTGCCGGTGCTCCTCCTACTCGAGTACCGGTCCGGCAGTGTGGGTAGTGGTGACACGCCGGGGCTCTTGCAGCGAGCGTGCGATATCGCGACAACAAACTCACACCCAACAGCAACACGCAGAGAAAGAAAGGGAAAAAGTACGATTACTGTAATCTTCTCCGCCCACCGTATATATAATGCGAGTATCGAACCCCGAACTCAGGGTACAGTACTTGTCCGGTGCTCCACACGTGCACCCCGATCCGACCATCATCCCAGCCTTATCGAGGCACAGCACGGTACAGCACGAGTACAGTACCGGTACTCGTACTGCACCCTATCGACGATCCCTCCTCGCTTGGCCCAACAGCGCAGCAAAAGAGCAGAAGCGAAAATAGATTCCCTTTGTCCTCCCATCCCAGCTCAGGGCGACAACGGGGGTGATTGGTCAGGTTTGGAGAGCAAAGGCCAGTTGTGGTTGGCGAGTTGGGCGGGCGGCTACAGAGAGGGGGATCGACAAGGGGAAGGAATACCGATGCAAAGTATGTTTAAGCGTGGGTACTTGTACGATGTAGGGGTTGAGGAAGGGTTGTATGGCTGGTACGGTACTCGTACCGTTGTTGGGAGCAAGCGGTTGCAGCAGTCTGCCATCCATCATACGCTACGTTCTGATATGATACCGGTATTGCTGGACGAGTGTGTGGGTGTGGCACCCAGGCGAATGGGGGGGCTATTTATAGGTCCGTCTGTTTGTTTCTTTTTTCCCTCTCGCTTCTTCTCCCTCCCCACAATCCCTTGCCCCTTCTCTGGTGGGGGGTTTGGCGGGCCCAATTTGTTTACAATCCGAAAGGTGCATACGGCATCTTGGACACCATCAGTTCGGAGGGCATTATCGAAGGGGTGGGGCATGCTGCGGGCCCGTGGGTGCTCGACTGGTCGCTGTAGACTACCGTACCGTATCGTCTACAGTAGATGTGGGAATCTCACCGAGGTTGCTGTGGGGGGGGGTACGGTATATCGTGTCATGGTCTGTCCCGTCTGTATTGAATCGCTTGCGGGTGGGGAGGGGGAAGAGGCTCTTACAGCTTTTGCTTGCTTGGATATCATGATCAGTTATTTTTTCCTCCCCTTTTCTCGCCCGTTCGTTGCTATTTGTTGCCTGCGGGACGAGGGGTTCGGGCGTGGGACTGGCGAATCGTCGGAAACGAATCACGCTTCGGGATTAGTCGTGACTTATTTATAGATTTTCCGCTCTGATGTCGCGAATCCCAAAATTGCTGGTCCCCCTCCTTTGCCCAACGCTCGCTCAGTCAATCCGCTCCTTCTCTCCCTTCTCGCCCTGCACGGCTTTGACCTTGCTTTCTCTCTTTCTCCCCTCCCTTCACCCCTTCCCTCTCTTTCACCCTCCCCTCCTCCTTCTGCTCTTCCAACCCTATTACCGGTACTCGCACTGTACGGCACTTCCCCCCCCCCCCTACCGGCTCTCTCGCCCCACCCGCTGACACTCCCTCTTCCTTCATTCCCCCCCTCATATATTCACTTCACCCCACCCATCTGCATCCCCCCCTCCCGCGCCGCCAGTTCGCCCTCTCTTTGGTGGAAGTGTTTTTTTTTTATTTTTTACCGCGCCGACGACCGCATTGCTGGGGAATGGGAGTTTAGAGAGGCTTTTGGGATCACGGAGGATCGCTGCTTACTAACATTTCTACAATGGCGTCGCCGTATGCTTTCCACAATAACCCAGCGGCCTATGCTCGCTACAATCCAGCACTCTACCCGGGTGGACTTGGCGGCACTCCGGCCGTTGGCCCCGCCAACCCTCCTGCCAACACTCCCACCACGCCAGCGGGGTACGGTCCACGACGACCGAGTGTGAGCCCCATGAGGAACCCCACCGAGAGTGGAGAGGCCGGCGGAGAGTACAACCCTCAGCACTATGGCCCCGTCGCAGCGAACGGTGGTGGCTCTTTTGTTCCTAGGCCTGCCGGGGAGGATGGTATGGAACCTTTGTTTCCTAGATAAAAATCACCACTTTCCCAACATTTTTCCGTTTCCCTATCACTACTGTCATTGTCGCTCTGCCTCTGTTGGGTGCAGGGGATCGTTTCTCCCCTTTTCTACTATTTCCCCACTTTTCCTCTTCACTTGTATTTACTCGCAATTCCCCTCGCTTTCTCTTCATACTGGTGACGGGTTTCTGTCTCTATTTCATATTCGTGAATCTCTACTTCCATACCCCGCATGCGCTGGACTGACGCCTCTGCAGCTCCGCCACCGCCCTATTCACCTTCGGGCCCCCAGCGACACCCAAGCAACCCCAGGCTGCAGCTCAACCCCCCGCACCAGAGGCAGCATTCATGGCCATACAACAGCCAGAATACAACCCCCGTCTCGCCGCTGCAGGTCACTCCCTCAACAGCAACCTCGCGGGATTTCTCTCCAGTCTTTTCACAGCAAAATAGCGCTACCAGCACGGCCAACACGACCCCCTTGTCTCCTTACGCGCCCTTGCTGCAGGAACAATTGGGGTGGAATGGCCCCACTCGCAGGAGGAATTATTCTCCTCCAGGGACAGCTGGCGGGCAGGGGTATGCGCCTTCGGGCTTGCAGAAAGCGTCTTATCCTTCTCCTGATATACCCCCTTCGAGTCCCATCGCTGATAGCGTTGGGCCGTCGTCCCGATCCGGGAGTCGGCGTCCAACATTGCACAACGTGGTACCGCCACCGCCGCCCGGGCCACCCCCAGCCCAGAATAACTATATGCGGGATAGCTCGCCAATGGCTGCCCAGGGTAGGAGGATGCACAGTAGTAGCAGCCCAGCTGTGCCTGCCGGGCTCGGGATTGGGATGAGATCCGGCTCCCGCTCTCCTCCAGCGATGCCACCCGGGGCTGTGAGAGCCGATTCTCTGTCTAGGATACCCCCTCCTCCGCCCGGGCCTCCTCCACGGAGCGAATCCGTACCGAGAAACGCCTATGCTCCGGTACCTGTGAGGAACGATTCCCAGAACGGCGGTGCCATCCCTCCCCCACCACCCGGGCCACCTCCCAGAAACCCGAGTCTACCCAGAATCATGAATCAGGGCCGGTCGGTTTCCTCTCCCGTGATGAACCCCGCCGCTATGAGAATGAGTAGCAGGTCACCTCCCCCCCAGCAACCGAGCGGGCTATCGACCGAGGGTAACGGCTCGGATTTTTACCAAACAGCACAATCCACCGCACCGTCTGACCCGAGGAATCTGCCCCCGGCCCCGCCCCCAAAGCGAAGGATGGAAGGGGAAGAGATGCCCCACAAGAAGAGCTCGCCCGGGCCAAGGAGCGGGGATGAGGAAGGGTTAGGGATCGCTTGGGATCAGAGGCGACCGGACGCAGATAATAATCCCTGGCGTCAAACACCAACCGGTCCGGCGGCGGCGGTGAACTCGGCAGAAGAGGTGATGGGCCAAAGAGACCGTGGGTTGAGTTTTAGTGCCTCGCGCCGTCAGTCCGTGGTGGCGCCCACTTTGATCGATTACGAAGGAGGGGAATCCCCCCCACCCCCAGAAGCGACGCCAAAACCTTCCTTCAGCGCAGCTGCATATCTCCCTCTCTCACCGGATAAAAACAGGGTTAGGCGTAAGCCGATACATGTCGCCTCACCACCAGCCAATAATTATGAACCGCCAAAGCAGCTTCCCACACCCCCTCCTGGCATTGAAAGGGATTCCAAATTCAGGCCGGTTTCGCATTTGTTACATCTGCCCAATGCGGGGGGGCAACTCCAGCCCCCGCTAATCGAGGAGGAAGAACAGGAAATGAGCGCATTTTATCTATCCGCACTGGAGAGGTACAGGAAAATGATTCGGTTGGAGGCTACAGCGTCGACGGATGAGGAGAGGGTGGGATTGTGGTTGGATTTTGTATTGAGTGAATGCGGGCTGAGGAAGGAACGGTATTCCCGGGCCGTTGGGAAGATGCGATCGTCTCTTGCTACAAAATTGGGTTCGGCATTCTCGGAGGAAACACAGCAAAATCTAACGCCAATTTCACCGGTAATGAAGGGTATGGACGGGGAGGATGTAGAAATGGAGGATACACAGGAAAGTAGGCGACGCCCGGAAACACAATGGTGGGGACAACACCTTAACAGTGATTCTTTCGATAATGGTGACCCTACGGGTGCGGCTCTCGAGGCGAGGGTCAGGGACGAGGAGTCCTCACGCGGACGAACATCCTCGCGATGGTGGGAGGCGAGCGCGGAGGGCGGATCGGTCAGTGATCACTTGGCCGTTCGTTCTGATGGAATGGGAGACGACGAGTTTGGCATGGCACGGTCGAGTCACAGATATGCACGCACTCCTAGAGCATCGCTTCGCGAGATAGCAGAGCACGTGACCACACCGCGGGGCTCACAGTTCCCTGGCGATCCTACCAGTTATGCTGGTGGTCCCGCTTACCCCCCGGATAGGAAGGCCATGTCCATGTCTCGTTCTCGATCGCGACCACCTCACTCGCAATCACGAACTCGCACTCCTGTCCGACCGGTCAAGACGAATCTCGATATTGCTCCCCTGCTCACTCTGCTCCCACCTTACCCACGCGTTTACGCAGCAGTGAACAACGCTCACCCCCAACTTGCGGTATTCCGGAACCTTGTGCGAACGCTGAATGACCTGTCTCCCATCACAGAGATCAAGGCTGACTTTAACGCTGCTTCCTCAACACGGAAGGAAACCTTCACTATCGAATCATTAAAGCGCCGGAACCAGCACTCAGAATACATCCAATCCCTTTACAGCGCGGCCTCAGGCAATAAGGCCCAAAAACGCCTCAGCTTCGACCGACTCGAAACCCTCAACACCGACTTCCAGAACCGCGAAAATGCCCTCTCTGAGGAATCCCTCAAGTCCGAGTTTGACTTGTTCCGGTCCCAAGTCGTGGACGCGGCTCACACTGAACTGCAGGAGCGCATCTCTGCCGCGTCTGCAGCCTACGACGACCTTGCCGCCGAGATTGTCGCGAACGCGGACAACCCACTCGGTGGGCAAGAGGAAGGCGGCGACCAAGTCCCTGAGCTCCTCGAAAAGCTGACATGTCTGAAATGGGTCTTTGACGTGCGAGAGCAGCTCCACCGTGAGGTCTTCGATCTGCTGTCGGAGCGCAACCGCCGTTACAAGGAAGTGGTGGTGACACCCTTCTTTGCCTCCCGTCTCGCCGACAAGATCCGAGAAGCAGAGGACTTTTTCACTGCGGACGAGAATGCCCGCCGCCTCAGGGCCGACAAAGAGTCACTCTCCCGATACGAGGGCTTCCTAGACCTGGTGGAGAACCACGTGATCAAAGGTGTCGAGAAGCAAATATCGGCATTCTGGGAAGTTGCGCCGTTGATCATGGAGTGTTTTGAGAAGATTCCGACAGACCTGACCAACGTCCACCCTATTGTCCCACCGGAAGAGTATCACGAAAACCCCGCGTATCTGAGAGAGCCGTTGAGGTACCTCCATTCAAAGATCGAAATGGCCGAAAAGTCGATATACCAGTTTGTTGAGGGACAGACAAACTTGCTCTGCTTGTTACACGAGGTCAAGACATTGAACGTGGCGGCTGGATGGAAAGTCCGCTTGCCGGGCCCCGAGAACGCTAAGGTTCAGGAGGAGCGCCGGGAGAAGGAGGAGGCAGTGCTAACAGAGGACTTGAAGGAGAAGGTGAAGATGCTGGAGAGCGAGTGGAGGGAGAGTCTCGGAAACCTATTTGAGGAGGTTAGAGGGAGGGTTAGTGGGTGGATTGGTGAAGCGGAGACTTTGGAGTGATTTTTTCTTGATTGATATCATAAGAGAGTAGTGTATCATCGGAGGGGGCTGGCTGGGGCTTGGAGCAGCACTTATTCTACCTATATTCACGTACATATTTTTCCCTCTTGGATTGATACCCATATTATTATTATTTTCATTTTCTCATCCTTTACTCTATTCGATCTTATGATTACCCCCCCCCTTTTTTTTCCTCCTTACTTCGCTTCTATTATTCATTTAAGGGATTGTACTTTACGCTCGCTTTCTTTTTTTCCTCCTTCATTCTCACTTTGTCTCGATGGACATGCATAGAGGGGGCGCAATGTACTCTACACTCGCTTGGAGTTCTTTCTTTCTTCACCTTTTTCTTTTTCGTTTTTTGTTTTTATTTGTCAGGTTTGGGTTGGGTCTGGTTTGACTGGCTGATTGATTGATTGATTGATTGACGATGGATAGATGGGTAGGCGGAGGGAGTGGGAATTGAGTCGTTGATACCCATCACTTTCACATCTCTAGTATACTCCTTAAGGAATTTTCCCGTGATTCCGTATTCACCGCAAGTGTGATACAATGGCTGTTTGCAAAGGTTGGCGTAAGGGGGAGGGGGGTTGAGCTGGCGCTTCTGGCTATTCGCTGCCACTGGATGGATGATCTTGATCATATTATATCACTCGCTCCGGTGCCGAACCCAGAGTGAGCCAAAACAGCGCTTCCGTGATTATGACGATGGGAAGAGGGTGGGAGCTCAGCGCAGGTACCCCTGGCATCACCCCCTCCGGTATAATCACCCGTATATCAGGCAGGCCGACAGGTATCATACACTGAGAACTTGAACGGGGTCCATGTTACGAACAACATGTCGATTACCACTACTCTGTACTATTCAACACCAACCTTATAAGAGGGGCAGCCCCCCCCTTCCCCCTCCCCCAGCGCCTCCACAACCCCTTAAATCAAGATCTCGGAAAATAGATAATTACCTACCGCCTTTGCGGGCGGAAATCAGTTTGAGGATGCGTATATTGGATATCGGCTTTCGTTCGTGAACACCTTGACATCGTATAGCGCCACGGGCAACGGGTACTGCGCAGTGCTTTTCGCCAAACGCTGATGCCGTCTGTGATCTGACTGACATTCTCGCTGGAGGTCTGTTTGTCTATCTGTCTCTCTGTCTGGTTTTGTGCAGCTGGGAAGTCCCCGGGGGGAGCTTGACGGTTTGAAGCGGGGAACCGGCATCAGGCGATATCGTATTTTAGTGCGCTGTAGTAAATATGGTGAAGGTGCTGCGTGTGGAGTTGTCTGGTGGGTGGGGTATTGGCGGATGGATGGATGGATGGGTGGGTGGACGGATGAATGGTATGAGTTACACACGATAGGCTTGTTTAATTGTGAGGTATATCGTGCGTATTCCTAGGAATGTCCTTTCCGGTACAGTACGTGGTGTCAGTGAATATCGGTCGAGTAGAGGGGCCATTCTCCATTCTAGTGATTCTGGGCAAATGTGTGGGTGGGGAAGCTTGTATGATAATAAGGTTTGCCTTGGAGTCGACTTGTCGTGTTCTAGGAAATATTGTGTTTTCGGGGAGTGTGGGGTCATATTTTTATTGGTATGATGTCATGCTTGCTAAACAGGCCCTGGGCAAAAGAGGAAAAGATAAAAGAAGGAAACTGTTTCTCTGAAACCTTTGTATATCATACAGATACTCACACCCACTACACTATCATACCTGTACTGCTCAATTCCCCTCTGTTTTTGCCAAATGATTCATGATAACCTTAGCCGTAGCAGCGCCACAAGTCTGCTCCAAATCCTCAAACGATGACGCATTGCAATTCAAAGCGCAAAAATTTAGATCTTCCCTCTGCAGCAGCATCTCTGCCACGTCCGAGAGCCCCTTCTCGGCCGCCACCACCAGCGGATGCTGGCCAAATTCACCGGTCGTATTGACGTTGACCCTCGCATCCGCGACCAATATCCTCGCCACCTCGGTATTCTGCCCAGCCACAGCGGCGAAAAGCGGCGTGCAAAGAGATATATCCCGACGATTAACATCGATTCGCGGATGAGCTAATAACGGGCGCACCATATGCGACCTATGTCTTTCGGCGCAACAATGCAAGGGAGTTTGTCCTTCCCTATCGGCCGCGTTCACCTCCGTTCGCGGATCCTCCAAGAGTAACTTGAAAACCGCGAAGTGGCCAACCACGCATGAGGTCAGGAGGGGTGTCCTTCCCCACATGTCACGATGATTGATATCCGTCCTTGGGTCAGCCAGGAGCAGGCTCGCGATCTCTGGCCTCCCCTCCAAGGCTGCCCTAGTCAGTGCCGTTACGCCCACTAAATCCGTGGCGTTGACGAGCAGTCGCTCGTTAGCGAGTAGTAAACGCATGATTTTTTCGTTCCCGCGATGCGCTGCTCTGGCTACGAGTGGCCAGCGGGTGCCCGTTGACCGGGGATTCACGTCCGCGCCCGGGCATTGGAGGAGTAAGCCGACGACGGCCGGCTGGCCGTCGGATACCGCGAGGCAGAGTGGTGCCCGGCCTTTCGCGTTGGTGGATGTGGCGTTGAATCCGCCTGAGTCTAGTAATGTCTTTATGGCGATTTCGCCTTCTGTCCGGACTGCCTCGTGCAGGAATGTGTCCCCGAGAAGTTTGGTGATGCCGTGCTTCAGCAGCACGCGGACGCTGGATGTGTCGCCCCGACGGGCAGCTGAGTAGAGGGCTTTTCGGGCATAAAAGTTTCCCTGGTCGACCCTACAGACGGATTTCAGCAGTTCTGGAATGAGTAGGGCGGATAGGCGGCGGTTGGCGCGGCAGAGGGCGTAGATGTCGGGCGGGGATTGATGGTGAGATATTGAGATAATTATCTCATTCGGGAGATGGAGGAATGGCATTGGAGGTGGTGCTCGTTCTGTGGCTGGTGAATGGCAGACACTTCGCCCTTAGGTGATCAAGTAAGGTGGATCCCGTCGCGTAGCCGCTAGGCGGCTGAGACCCAAGCACTGCCTCCGGAGATCAGCTACGGTACGAGACCTGCTACGACCCCGCTCGGGACTGTATTAATAGATTTGTGGTATGATACCTTTTACCTCTTCCTTAAGCCCAAGAACCTCCTACCTAGACCTCAACAGTGGGGCATTTGGCGATCGTAAGTTTAGCCTCACGAAAAATCTCTTTTACGTTGCTCAAGGTTTGTGTCTTCTGTCGCCTATAAACTAAGTCAATCGCGGTACGAATACCTCTGCGGCTAACCTGGGCGACTGTCTGCAAGTAGTTTGGCGTTGTCTCATAAGCGAGGAAAAGAGAGGTAGCGAGCCGAGACTGCCACTCCTCCCTTTCCGGCAGCTACCAGCTCTTGCTTCCGCAGTTTTCATCCCCTTCGATCTCTAGGAAATCTGCCTAAGCCTCACTTGTGACGGGGCACTTGGGATGGAAGGGTATGTTACCCCTGTCACAGCCCGTCGACCTCGCTCTGCAACTGGGAACCGGTTTACTGACTTAACGAATCTCACCAATCCGGGCGCTAGGGCAAGGCAATATATCCCCAAACACAATGTCGTGGGGGACTACAGTGGAAACATCAATAGCTTTAATGCCGTAAATATTGTCAGCCATTACTGGTCTGATGATGAGGAGGACAAAGAAGTGGGCAGCGGTGTTGATCATACCATCACCCATCTAACTCGCTAGAAGTCTAATTCCCCATGTCTTTACAGATTCCGGAGTGGGTTCAAGACCTTTCT